TTGTTAGCTTCCTGGAAGCAGTAAACCTCTAGCAAAAAATCGTCTTCTGTTGCCTCTCAAATTAATATCCTGGCCGATCTCGTCCATAGGCTCTTGGGATGTCATCTGGCCCTTCTGAGTCACCTGCTGATGATGCAGGACCCTTCCAGTTTCCATAGGAACTGTTACCAGGGGAGACCCTCTGTGGCAGAAATTATTCCCATGAGAATAAAAAAAAAACCCAGTTAATAAAGATCTGGTGAAAGAAAGAGTCTCTCTCTCTCTATGTCCCCCTTTCGTGTTTCTTGGTTGTGACCGGTTCTAAGATGAATTTAAGAAAACAGAATGATGTCTGGATGGTTTTGAAGTGTACCTGTTGATCGGTAGGCAAGAATCATTTTTAAGAATTATGCACTGGATTGTTTACTCCTGCACAAGTTCTTTAAGGACGGGAAAAGTGAAACAGAAGAACAAACAGCTCAAATGGAGTAAACCGGCTGTCCTAAGAAGGCAGAAGACCAATGATCAGGTGGCCTTGATACGAACCAGAAATGAGTAAGATCTCTTAAAAAGCAGTTCCCCTCCTGATCTTAGCTTGGTAGGAACTACCAGGGAACAAAAACAAGCAAAAACATTACTCTAAATGAGTAGCTGAGTTGTAACTGGCAATTTGGGTACCTGGCGAAGTGATGGTGTCTGGGGCATGGGCATAAATCTCCCCCAAGAAGAGAAAGGAGGAGCAATATGTGATATTCCCCAAAAGTTGTGGGAAGGGAGAAAAGTGAAGAGGGACAGAGGAGGTCTTAGCATTTATTCTCCTAACACCCAGTGGCAGATTCACCTTTAGACTTTGTGAATCTCTAAATTTCGATATCCTGGGACAGTTGTCGCTTCCGGACTTTGGAACTCCCTCCCACTAGAAGTCAGACTGGCCCCAACTTGGCTGTCCTTCCGCAAGGCAAAGACTTTTCTCTTCAGGCAGGCTTTCCTTGATTGACTGGCTCTCTGAGGGGTTTAAATGGAGTGTTTTACCTGGCTGCCTTGAATGTGTTTTGGTGTTATGTTTGTTGTATGGCATTTGTTTGATCCTTCTCAGCATTCGTATACTCCCTGTTGTCAGTTTTTATATTGTCTTTTAATGATGTAAGCTGCCTTAGTTCCTTTTAAGGAGAAAGGCAGGGTAAAAATATTTTAAACAAACAAATGTTTCAGCTCTAATTGTGGCCCTTGTTGTGAAAAGCACAGGAATGGAGCTGCTATAAATATTGTAATTCTAGTGGCAGCCTTGAGGAAAATGTTTTCATTACTCGCTTATTTAGAGAATGGAAATATTACTTTGAGCTGCAGCTGTCAAATCTCTCCAGTCAATATGGCCACTGGCAGTATCATCTGAGGGATTCTTAGATCTAAAGTCCAAAAAGTAACTATATCTATATCAGGCCTTACTTATATATCTCAGGAATTAAATTTCACTTAAAGTGCAGTATTTACTTTCAAGAAACCACACACACATCATTATGAATCTCACTAATTCATTCATTCATTCATTCATTCATTCATTCATTCTTTCTTTCTTTCTTTCTTTCTTTCTTTCTTTCTTTCTTTCTTTCTTTCTTTCTTTCTTTCTTCACATCAGAGCACTGTACAATTTAAAATTATGGATGTATATGACAGATAGGTAAAATTAAAAATAAATTAAAATGTTAATTAGCTTGCTTTGGGTCAAAAATAGTTTATTTCCATAGTGTTATCTTGGCCGTTTATAGGATTTTCTTTTGTACACATCGTAGGGCATAAATTACATGCACATAAAGGCTGCATTAATTGGATTTCTCCACATTCACAAAAAAGTGCCCTATATCTAAGTAGCCCCATATGACTTGATTATTCTTTGATCTTCCTACTCTGCTTTGAAGTCTATTAAGTCTAGCCTCTTCTGGTTTAATATTTAGAGTTTTTTTTGCAGAGTTCTGAATTTTTTGGTCCACAGTAGTCCACTTAATAACCAGAACTTACAGTCTCAATAACTCATTCTGAAGCATTGACAGTAAGAAAAATAAAAAATGTTCCATTTACTTACAAATTAACAGCAAATTGACAAACATGACTGCTTTCAGCAGCAGACCTCAACAGATTAAAGAGAAGGAAAAAGACACCGAGCAGAGAGGTGGGCTCTCTTTGAATTCAGAGGCAGGGAAGGATACTCTTGGTTAGGGCTAGACCGTCACCGCACCCCAGAAAGGTTCCTCCCAGCCAAACCTACTAAAGGCAGCATGCGAGGTTGCAATAGCGCCAACAATTTACTGGGGCACTCTCCCTAACTGCGACAATTTTGTCCATCAGGGAATTGCTACAGCGTGCCCCCCCACCCCAAAAAAAGAGTACGTCGTGCTGCTGGACCAAAAAAAAAAAGTCCAGCTTGGGCACAAACTAGCTTTGGGTTAGCACACTTTTGCCCATAAGTAGCGCCAACAATTTACTGGGGCACTCTCCCTAACTGCGACAATTTTGTCCATCAGGGAATTGCTACAGCGTGCCCCCCCACCCCCAAAAAAAGAGTATGTCGTGCTGCTGGACCAAAAAAAGTCCAACTTGGCACAAACTAGGTTTGGGTTAGCACAATTTCTCCTCCCCTGCTGCTTCTGCCTCCCTTTTTCCTCCCAATATCTGGCTGTTAATGATAATGCGCAGAATGCTGCATTTATACTCTGACAGCTACTTATTACGAGCAAACAGCATTGAACTGATAACAAAGAGAACAAGTGGTGCGTTTCACTGGAAAAAGGAGGAGGGCTCTGATAAGGGCTCGGTGGTAGAAAAGAGAGATCTGTCGCCAGCCTGCTCAAAACCAGAAAGCGACGAGAGCCAATTAACAGGGATTAGTTAAAGTTTAGCTTGGCCTTTTAGACGGGCAAGGAAAGACCAGATCCTGTTGGCACAGAAACCAACCGGGCGACGCAATGTCCGTTTTAAGCATTTGATTTCTCACCCTCACATAATAGAAAGTGAAGGGATTTCCTCTGAGCTTGGAGAAAGTTTAGAAAAAAACTGCATCCCCCCACAATCCCCTACAAATTTAAGTCATGTTGGTTAAGGGATTCTGGGAGTTGTAGTCTAAAGGCAGGATGACAGTCTCCTAGCTCCAATAGCAATGAGGTTGCACCCTCGGCCATAGTGGTTCTCCTCTACAATGAGTCTACATTCCTCTTGCAAACTCTGGTTGATAATTTGAGTGTTCTTGTTCTCGGGGACTCAGCCCTGCGTCTGGATGCTCAGGTTTCAGCCGTGGCCAGGAGGGCATCTGCACAGGTAAAGCTAGCGTGCCACCTTTGCCTATTCCTCGAACTGTCCGATCTAGCTGTGGTGTCACATGCCTTCGTTACACCCCACTTGAATTACTGCAATACATTCTATATGGGATTCCCTTTACAAAAGGCTGGAAAATTCTAGCTGGTCCTCAATGCTGTAGCCAAACTATTGATTCAGGGTGGGATCAGACAGAGAACCTGGATCGTATTGGATCTTACTGGAAGTGAGGGGGAAGCTTCAAGCCCTTCCCTTCCCTTGGCCTGTTCTACACAAATTCTCCCCTCACCCAGAAACTAGAAGGAATTGTTAGACTGAATGCACTAATATTCACACTCTCACTTTCCCATTACACAGGAGAATGCATCTAGTGGTTTTTTTAATTACTTTCAAAACATAATTCTTTTGATGCATCTCTTGGCATGTCCTCCTTTTAATGCAGGATTATTTATTTACTTCAAATACTTATATGTCACCTTTCTCTTATAAAGAGAGCAGTACAAAGCAGCTTATAGTATTAAAAGAAACAGTATTAAAAGCTAAAATAATAAATTATTGTGATATAAAAAAGGACTAAACAAATATATTAACAATTTGCAGATAAGCACTATTAAAACCACATTAAAATCAACCGAAATACAATAGACCTCTTAACCCCCCCCTTACTCAGTCAGTCATTCATTTTTTTATATTCATTGTTTCTCTACACAAATTTGTCTTTCAATGATGTAAGCTGCTTTGGGTCCTTTTTGGGGAGACAGGTAGGGTAAAAATAAATAAACAAACAAACAAACAAACGAATGAATGAATGAATGAATGAATGACAGCCTGCCTGAAGAGAATGGTATTTGCCCAGTTTTGTGAGGTCAGCAGAGGCAGGACCAACCTGGCCTCCAGTGGGAGGGAGTTCCAAAGTCTCAGAGCAGAAACAGAGAAAGCCCCCCTCCTGTGTCCCCACCAAACATACCTGTGAGAATAATGAGATCAAGAGAAATGCCTCCCTTGCTGATCTTAACTCCTAGGCAAGTTCATAAAAGGAGGTACAGTTTTTGAGATAACTTGGACCCAAGCCGTTTAGGGCTTTATAAGTTAAAGCCAGCACTTTGAATTATGTCCAGAAATGCACCAGCAGCCATTGGGGCTGCTGTAATTAGGGTTGGTGGGTTATATATGATCCTGGTAACCAACCCCAGGAAGTAATTATTTTAACATTCCCATCTTAATCTAAAAAATCATTTCCAAACGCTGCATCCCCAGTGTTATGTCCGGAACGTGGCTGGCCCACCTAACAAGGAGGGTGAACCGCCGGGTGGTCCACGTAGCCCCCTCAGCTCTTCTTATCAGCCAAATTGTTGGGAGAGTTTCTCAGAGGGAACCGTCGGGCAGTTACACCTGAGACAGTTCCCTCACTCAGCCTCTAGCGGGGCTGTCCCTGTCCATCACCGACTGAAGGATAAGACACCAGAGAAGGTTCTTGTGGGTATTTCAGGATATTTATAGGTCGCAATAACTCTTGGCCAAGGTGGGAGAACATCAGTAGACATTGTGTTCTCCCATGAGATGGCAGCCAACGAGGGCCAACGAGACTGCTTTCTCATTGTGCCACAGGTAAGCCAACTCTGGCTGCCAAGAATGCTTAAGATCTGTCCTCTTGGCTTGAACCCATCCCCTCCATGGCACACTTTGGCCCATGACTCACGGCAGCCATGACTCACTGTGGCCCTTTGTTGGCAAGTCTTGTCTTTATCTCTACGCAGAGGGTGGGTCGGGAGTAGGAGGTGCTGGGCAGAGTTCCCGCTTCGCCTGCCTCCTTCTCTCAGGATTTTCATGCCTCTCGATGTGCTGAATTAGGAGACAACGGCATTTCGCTTCACGCTGTTAAAAGCAATAGATGCTCGTGATCACAACAGTTGTGTCCGTGAGCATCTTGCGGAGTTCCATGCTTGTTTGAAACAGGTTCTCCCTGCAGGGCAAAGCCGATCAATTTCGTTGGAACACCTGAAACATTAAGGATGAGAAGGGAAAGACATTTACTCAAAAGAGGTAGCTGTGTTAGTCTGTTTAAATAAATACAGACAAATGCAAAACAACAACAAAAAACAAAAATGTAGCAGCACTTTAAAGGTGAACTGTTACATTTCAAAGTGTGTTTAACCGCACTTCCCCAAGACACCTCAGAGTGTCTGAAGAAATGGACATGATCCACAAAAGATCACATGAAAAAATAACAGTTAATGTTAAAGTGTCACTATATTTTGGTTTTGCTTTTCTCTGTACAGTATATTATTTTTATTCAGACCACTAAATATTTTACCAGTAATGTTAAAGTGTCACTATATTTTGGTTTCGCTTTTCTCTGTATATTATTTTTATTCAGACCACTAAATATTTTACCAGCCTTTGTTCTGTGCCCGTTCTTATTGACCCCACTCCTTTTTATATGTATCAGCTGCCCTTTTATATGTAGCAGCTGCATCATTCTTATTGACCCCACTCCTTTTTATATGTAACAGCTGCGAGTTAATTTTGTCTGCCTTTCAAAAAAATCCAGCTTTTAGAGATTTATACTCCAAGAAGACAGACTTGCAGCATCTGCTTATTTACCACAACCATGAGAGCCACCAATCAGATTGCAAAAGCCATATCCTTACAATAAAATACTCTCTGGGCATAAACAGACATTAAAGACAGCCTGCCATTAGAAGAGATTTCTTTAACTAATGAAAGCATCAGAGTGTTGCAGGAGTTTATTTTACCTTTTAGACTAGAGCTTGCAAATTAGGGGCTTTGTTTGGTGACTAGTTTTAAAGACTGAAACCAAGGATTCCTTTGAAGGCTGATTTTGAAGATAAGAAGAACTGCCTCAATCACCTCTTTCCAGTATCAACTTTTTTTCCCCAAACTTAGAGCTTTCAGCTCCAATTATGGACTATTCATAAAGATTGTTTCCGGTCTCACGGCTTAGAAGAAACTCTTTAGAAATAACTAGTAACTTGCAATTAAGTAATCGTTGCTTTTAAGAAAATCGTAATGAAACTACATTGTAACTGGAACATAACAGGAGATAATGACACTCCTTAGATTGTGTAATTGTACTTTAATTTCTTCCACTTTATGGGAGGATGTGGCTTCACTACTTAGCGTGTTTCCTATCAAGGCCCACCAGTTACAGGCAAAATCTAATTTTAGTCTTAACTAGAGTGGACCTATTAAAATAGTGGAAGTAGTTATTCAAAAGTTACATACATCCTGCAGTTTCAACATTTAGTTTTCCTTAGAACAAAAACTGGATTAAGCTCCAGTATTTTTTTAAAAATTAACTAGTTATTAGTTATTTTTTTAAAAACTTAGGAAGCAATCTTTCTTTTAAAATACAACTACAGAAGTCACTAACTTAGGAGTACTTTTTTAAAAGTATTTTTCCAAGCTGAGAGAATTCAGAGCTGAGGAATATGACCAGAATAAGAGAACTGAGCCTTTCTGGCCTCACCCAAGCTATTTTCATTGCAGAAAGTACAGTTTAAAAGCAGGGAAGAGTCACTGTGTTATTGCTAAATAAATGGGCATCTGAAACCCTTGCAGATCAACTGCAAATCAAACAGAAATCTGCCCACCCCTGATATAGTCCGTGTGAGAGAGAAATTACCACTGGTTAATTCAAATGTTGTTTACATTTGCACTGAAGGCTGGTTGTTGGCACATCTCTCCTCCGCCACCCAGCAGCCTTCAGACCTTGTTCATGTCTATATTTGGGAAGGGGACATTGCGGTCTGCCTCCTGGCATCTTCTACCAAGCGCTTTCCTCCCAGACTAGTGTTTGCTACTGGGTCTTAGTGCACCCCTTTGCCGAGCAGGACTGAGATGCTTTGAATTCACGGGTTGTGTTGGGCCTTTAAGAGAACAGTTATTACCTTCTCTTGAAGAGGAAATGTATCTTATGCTTTTCAGAAGCCAAAATAAGAGGTTAACTACAGACAAGGAGATATTTATACAATCGGCTGCCTGGGTGTCTGGCAGTCATGGAGAGTGTCTCTGTCCCACATCTAGACTCTGCCAGAACTTCTGCACCTGTGGCTTTTGCGTTATGCTTGAGAAAGTCATTCAAACCAAAAATAAAGAAAAGAAAACAAAATAAGCTATTTCTGTCTAGGGAAAAGAACATGCTGGGTTGTAGCTAGACCTAGGCATTCTCAGAGCAGATGTATTAGGTCATAATCTTTAAATCCCCTTCACGGATTTCTGCCTTGTCGTGGCGAAGAGGCTCAAGTCATTCAGAGAAGCTATGGGCTATGCAGTGCAGGGACACCCAAGATGAACAGGTCATAGTGGAGAGTTCTGACTAAACGCAATCCACCTGGAGCAGGAAATGGCAATGCCACTCCAGTATCATTGCCAAGAAAACTCCATGAACAGAAACAAAAGGCTAAAAGATATGACGCTGGAAGATGAGCCCCTCAAATCAGAAGGTGTCCAACATGCTACTGAGGAAGAGTGGAGGAGAAGGACAGGTAGCTCCAGAGCTAATGAAGTGGTTGGGCTAAAGCTGAAAGGACGCTCAGCTGTGGATGTGCCTGGAAGTGAAAGGAAAGTCCGATGCTGCAAAGAAAAATATTGCATGGCAACCTGGAATGTAAGATCTATGAACCTTGGTAAGCTGGAGGTGGTCAAAGAGGAGATGGCAAGAATAAACATTGACATCCTGGGCATTGGTGAACTAAAATGGACAGGAATGGGCGAATTCAATTCAGATGGTTATCATATCTACTATTGTGGGCAAGAATCCCATAGAAGAAATGGAGTAGCCCTCATAGTCAACAAAAGAGTGGGAAAAGCTGTACTGGGATACAACCTCAAAAATGATAGAATGATTTCAATGCGAATCCAAGGCAGACCTTTCAACATCACCGTCATCCAAGTTTATGCACCAGCCACTAATGCTGAAGAGGGTGAAATTGACCAATTCTATGAAGACTTACAACACCTTCTAGAACTGACACCAAAGAAAGATGTTCTTCTCATTCTAGGGGACTGGAATGCTAAAGTGGGGAGTCAAGAGATAAAAGGAACAACAGGAAAGTTTGGCTTTGGAGTTCAAAAACGAAGTAGGGCAAACGCCCTTCTCATGATATCCCAAAACCTCCATTTCATATTTTTTTTGTTTTTGTTTCCAGAAGGTCATAAATTAGTCAAGACTAACTTATTCCCAAAATTTGATTGCACCTGAGTTCAATCCATTGTAAATTGTGTTGTGGAGAGCGAATGCAGCTTGCAGCTCTACACGTGGCGTTGCACTCCCTTGTTTGTTTCCTGTCTTGCTCTGGACTGTACCGAGTACAAGCTTCAAGGACTCCTCCTCCTCTGTGATAGCCACAGGGAAATTTGCCAAGTTTTAGAAATCTTACAACATGATGCAACGTTGACATCAGAACCATGGTTTTCTCCTCCTTCTTCAAGGTCGTGGGTTTGAATCCCCGGTCATTTTGAAAGTGATGGGATGTGATACTGATGCCATTGTGTGTGTGTGTTCATTTGTAAAGCGATGAAACCATTTCTGAGACAAAACAGTGGAAACTGCTGGAACACGATCACATCCTTGAGCCAGCAAACATCTTTCAGTGATTGAGATATGGCTAGAATTTTTGCTTTAACTCCATTTTTTAGGGCTTTTGCCAACTCATTTGCTACAGGGTTAGAGCAAGAAAACAGAGTCACCAATAACTGGGGGACCTGCTTCAAAAACTTCCTTTAGCCTCAAGGACTTGAAACTGATTTTTTGTAAAGGAAGTCTGATGTTCTTAGAATTTCAAACCAGGACTATTGCCATACTGATGCTCATGGCCCTTCCAAAAGAACTGGTTCAAGACAAAATAACATACCAGGCAGGCAGGCTTGCAATGGCATGCGTGTCATGTAGTTGCCGGGACAAAAAGTGAATTAGCCTGGACTAAACCGTGGCACAAATGCCTGTCTAGTCACGCCCTAAGTCTCATGACTTGCTCCCTTTGCTGAGTAAGTGGGGGGGGGGAATGCTATCAAGTGCCCCCAATAAACATGGCAGGTCTTCTTGGGTGAGCTGCTCCTAAATGCCCATCCCTATATCAAGATAATTGACAAACACAATATGCTTCTTTGTCCATTTTTACAAAAAATGAAATTCGTGTGTATTAAGTACAAGTTGATTTCATTCCAATATGCTTGGGAGAAAGCATCATTTCAGGGCCAGGTATTTGGTTGGACAGAACAAGGCAACCACCTCAGGGGGCAAATTCTGAAGACAGCAGCGGCAATCGCACAGTGGTTTATCTTTGCCCTCCTTCTCCTCCCTTTGAGGGCAGAATGTGTGTCCCCCCCACGTTTTGTCCTGCCTGCCCTGTTGTCCTCTGGTGTGGTGGGAGTTTCTGTTCCATTGTCAGCACAGGAAAAAAAATCAGCTGCTGGTCCAATTGGCTTCCGTATATTAAAAGAGGAGATGCAGGTGTCATTTTGCCTCTGGGCCATCTCTGCCCCACGACCACTCAACAAAACTGAATTCCAAGCAGGATTGCACTGTTAAATACCCTTCAAACCGATTCAGGTGTATCAAGTTTTGGCTGCTTTGAAAGGTCTCCATTACTCACTGCAATCAGACGCAGAAATGTCTACCCTCAGAGGATCTTTTCTGGCTATGGGGCTTGCACTAACCTATGTGGTCAAGATCAATCTCCCGGCTTTGATGGCAATATAAACCCAGCTCGGGCAACTGGCCAAGAACTGAGAGGATCACCATATTTGGGGGGGGAAAGGCAGCTACTGGTTTCTTCCATAGGAAGCAATAGAAGGACTGACTGCCTTACAGGAGGTCCAGAGCATACCAGTGGCCAGAATATCCCAGCCAGCCTGGAGGCTGCATCCTCACAACCGCCCTGGTAGGGTGAGGGAGAACGATTAAGCCAAGGACCCACCGTGACGTTTGCTGTCTCTCCAGACTGGCACTCTTAATTGTTAGGCCACATTGCCCAGGTATGTTAGAGGATGGTGGGAGTTATATTCGAAAGAAAGTAATTCGTTCAAGCTCAGCACCAGCCCCCTGCAACTTGACACTAATTAGAAAGGGTCCTGAGAAGGCCGGTGTGTGTGTATGTGTGGGTGGATTTCTCAATTATATCCATTCGCATACACAGCTCTTTCCATTAGGTTGAGTTTGCTAATGGGGGAAAGCAGCAGAATGAGTAATCTTCTGTTTCACAAGCCAGTCATGACAAACACAAAGAGTCGGATTTGCACAATTGCTATGGAATCCTTTTATCTCTCACTATGTGCAAAACATTCCTCCTCTCCTTCTTGTGATGAATCTAAACATGTGATAATTTAAATCAGCAACATGCAATCCTTCAGATTCCTGTTTGACTCCCCACTGCCTAGGGCTGAGGGCAGTTACAGTCCATAACATATGGAGAGCCACATTTTGCCTATTTTGACTTACAAAGCAAAGTCCCACCCACTTCCTGAAAGATGCCTTACTAGTATATTTCTAATTGCACAGGCTGAAGCAAAGAATATATTATTGTGATCTACTCCTGGTGTAAAGCAATCTATTTTGACTTGACTTGCTCTTGAATAGGCAATTAAGACCCATTAGCTTTACAAAAGCCTTGCAGTTGGAAGACACAATGCCTGGAAGAACTGGTTTGTTCATGTGGATCAACAAAGCCCTCTGCACTTGGGGGGGGGGAGCCAGGAGGGAGTGTTGCAGCTATGAGCATTGTACCAGGGTGACCAGCTGCACTTCAAAGTTTATCACACCACCAGTGGTGTGGTACATTTTTGTGCTCACGAAATAGTTTTGGGACTCTGGAATGCAAAGGATTCTATTGGCAGAACCCTGGAGCAGGACGTATCACCGGCAGACAAGACTCAGGCAATAACAGTATGAAACCTGGGAAGCAACAGGGAAAGAGGAAGGGCTAACGTGAGATGGATTTAGTCAATAAAAGAAGCCATGGCCTTTAATTTGCAAGACCCAGGCAGGCCTGTTAATAAGATCTTTCGGAGGCCACTAATTCATCTGACTCAGGCAATAACAGTATGAAACCTGGGAAGCAACAGGGAAAGAGGAAGGGCTAACGTGAGATGGATTTAGTCAATAAAAGAAGCCATGGCCTTTAATTTGCAAGACCCAGGCAGGCCTGTTAATAAGATCTTTCGGAGGCCACTAATTCATCTGACTCAGGCAATAACAGTATGAAACCTGGGAAGCAACAGGGAAAGAGGAAGGGCTAACGTGAGATGGATTTAGTCAATAAAAGAAGCCATGGCCTTTAATTTGCAAGACCCAGGCAGGCCTGTTAATAAGATCTTTCGGAGGCCACTAATTCATCTGACTCAGGCAATAACAGTATGAAACCTGGGAAGCAACAGGGAAAGAGGAAGGGCTAACGTGAGATGGATTTAGTCAATAAAAGAAGCCATGGCCTTTAATTTGCAAGACCCAGGCAGGCCTGTTAATAAGATCTTTCGGAGGCCACTAATTCATCTGACTCAGGCAATAACAGTATGAAACCTGGGAAGCAACAGGGAAAGAGGAAGGGCTAACGTGAGATGGATTTAGTCAATAAAAGAAGCCATGGCCTTTAATTTGCAAGACCCAGGCAGGCCTGTTAATAAGATCTTTCGGAGGCCACTAATTCATCTGACTCAGGCAATAACAGTATGAAACCTGGGAAGCAACAGGGAAAGAGGAAGGGCTAACGTGAGATGGATTTAGTCAATAAAAGAAGCCATGGCCTTTAATTTGCAAGACCCAGGCAGGCCTGTTAATAAGATCTTTCGGAGGCCACTAATTCATCTGACTCAGGCAATAACAGTATGAAACCTGGGAAGCAACAGGGAAAGAGGAAGGGCTAACGTGAGATGGATTTAGTCAATAAAAGAAGCCATGGCCTTTAATTTGCAAGACCCAGGCAGGCCTGTTAATAAGATCTTTCGGAGGCCACTAATTCATCTGACTCAGGCAATAACAGTATGAAACCTTTCCCCCCACCGGGATCGCGCTGCGCCCTTTCCTGCTCTGCCGCGGCGCAAGATGCGCTCCGCGCCCTGGCGCTGACCGGGTCCCCGCGGCGGATCTGGCGCGGACACGCCTGTCTCCCGAGGAGGCTGCTGACGCCGAGGCTGCTCCCGGTCCGCGAAAGAGGCGCGATCCCGATTGCTGGGACTCCCGGGGATCGTCTTGGGATCGGGCACGCCTGGGCGCCGAGGACCGAGCCGGGCAGCAGCAGCAGCAGCCCCGATCCGCCTCGTGCAAGCCCGAAGCGGCGTAAAGCTCCCCTTTTAAGGCGTCCGCGATCAGACCCGGGCGCCGCCGTCTGGATCGGCTCGACTCCCTCCAGGCTTTTTTGTTGCGCGCCGTCCTGGAGCGCTTCTCCTGCGCCCTCCGGGGCTCCGGTCTCTGGATCGCGCGCGGGGGGGGGGCTAGGCTTCCGACCCTTGTGGATGGGGGCCCCGGCCAGGGCTGGCGCCGGCAGAGAAAGGGCTTTTTTTCCCTGAAGTCCGGAGTTGCTATAGAAACGGGGAAGAACCAGCCTTCAGCCCGGCTCTTGTTACGTCTGTGAAATGGGCCGGTTTGAGCCCGGGAGAGCTTCCCAGTTCTGGAAGCCCGGGTGGCCCTTCCTGGCTTGTTGATCCTTGGAGGGAAATCGGGAAGGGAAAGTGGCCGCGGGCTCGGTTTGGGACAGAAAGGGGACTTGATCGTGGGAAGAGGAGCATCCTAGCAGAAGGTGCTTTTCTCTCTGTCTGGCTCTAAGAAGACCTGGCAGAAGCCCCTTCTCCTCGCCAGGTGTTGGTGTCTCAAGGCTGTGTTGGGGGAGACCACCGCTGGCGGGTCGGTGGGCCGAAGGATGGACTCTGTGGGGGACACCTCCATCGGAGAATGGGCCTCCGACCACCAGCCACCTCCCAGGACCCCCCGGACCCATTCCCGCCACGTGATCCGCAAAGTCGCCTCCAAAGTCGTGACCCAGACGAACCCGCCGTTTGCGATTGTCTTCGTCACCCTCCTGTACTGTGGGGAGCTGACGGGGGCCTGCGTGGTGAGTTATGCCTACAGCCGCTCCAACGACCTCTTCTGGCTCTCCCTGACCCTCCTCTTGATGCTGATCCCTGCCGTCATGGACCAGCTCACCCTCATCTTCATCCATCGGGACCTGACCAGCGACAAGCCCTTCATTCTTTTCATGCACCTGGTGCTGTTGGGCCCTCTGATCAGGTGAGCTCTGCTTTCTTTTCTGCGCCTCCTCCTCCTGCATCTCACGTACAAGAGCGCGGCCTCAATATGATCATTACATGCCATCAGAGTGGCTTCAGATTTCAGAACGACCTGCTTCTGAAGGACATGAGATGTTCTAGGTAGGGTTTACTGTTGTCACACACTGCTGATGAGTTTGTGTAGCTGAGTGTGGATTTGAACCCAGGCCTTCTGAGTCCTAGTCTAACCCCCTGTCCACACTGACTCGCTCAATCAAATTTACCGCCATCAGGAAACTTGGAAAAAGCGCCCTATTTTGAGTCAGACCATTATGTTAACTAGCAGTGGTTTTCTAGGCAAAAAGACAAGAATCTTTCCTTGTTGGAGATTCCAGGCATCAAACTTGGAACCTTCTTCAGGCAAAGTATGTGCTCTACCACTGACCTCTGTAGCTTTCTCCTGAAGACGTAGGGAGCTGTTCGTCCAGTATTGTCCAAACGAGATGTTCCCAGCCCTACCAGGAGATGCCAGGGATTGAACCTGCGACCTATGTCATGCAAAGCAGGTGTTCTGTCGCAGAGCTACAGCCCCTTTCTTAAGACAGGTGGGCAGAGTGGATCCATCCAGATGTGGACTACAACTGGACCTAGCCAGTATAGCCAATGGTGAAGGATGCTGGCAGTTCCTGTCCAACCTCTGGAGGGTCACACTTTGCCCATCCTTGTCATGGCATGAGAATTTAGGGAGGCTTCTCTTCCTGAGTCAGACCATTGGTCCACATAGCCCAATATGGTAGATGCTGGCAGCAGCTCTCCGTGGTTTTCTGCAACTGTTTCCTTGCTCTTCCTGTGGGATTGGATTTAGGAGGGGCCGTATAACTAAGCGGTGGCTTCTTCCCGACCGGGAGCCGAGGGTGCTTCCTCTAATCCAGTGATTCCCAACCTTCAGTCCCCAAATGGTCTTGGACTAAAACTCCCAGAAGTCTTCACCACTAGTTGTGCTGGCCAGGATTTCTGGGAGTTGAAGTCCCAAGAATGTCAGGGGACCCACAATTGGGAATAATACACTCGGAATGATGTGACCCAGCTTTTTGAAACAAACAAAAAAAATCTGTGCCAGTGCACTTTGCATCTCTATTGGGCACCCTGGCATTGCACCCCTAAGTCGATGCTGTTGTCACTCGCATGGCTTTATGCTGAAGAAAGCCATTTAGATAGGATGGGCCAAGAGACATGATGAAATTAATTAACTGTAGACTCGGGACACTGTGGTCTTTTCCCAGCTCCTCCCTTCCCCCCCCCTTTCAATGATACGGTGAATTAATTCCTGGATCAAGAACTGGGTGAGCTGTATTTGTTTGGGAGCCCTTGTGCTCATCCTGCGGAGCGGGCTGCCTGGGCCACCCGCCAGGAGTCCTTTGGAGTGCTCAAATTCGCTGCCCAACTGGAAAGCTCGGTTCGCACACACCCAGCTCCAGCCGTGACCCTCCCCTCCCCAACGATGATGCTCGCCTATTGGAGCAGAAAGGATTGAAACAAAAGAACCACCGTGGGACCCACAGAAGCTGGAGAATCCAGAGATTTGCTGGCGAGGCTGCCCTCTTGCACGGCGATTTCAGAAGGGCCGATAAAGTGCGGCCCTGGCTGTTCCTCATAGGGTGAATTGACACCCATGAGGGAGACGTAACCAGATCTCCAGAGCCCTTTCGTTTTCAAAGAGAGGTGTCTGGCTTGGCAGACCAATGCAGGAGGAAGGATTGTTTCCTTTCTTCCTCCCCTAACCTTTTTGTTTTGTTATTGCAGTCAAAATCCTCGCCGGCAAAGGTGCCATGGCCAAGGCTTTGGAATGTTCCTTCTGGGGAATGACTGGGAGATTCCGGAACTCCTAGTCTAAAAACAACAACCGGTTCTCAGCCGTGGCCATTGGTTGTGCATGGCTGGAAAAGACAGGCGTGGTTCACCTTAGACATCATCTTGGCCCGCCTTGCCATAGCTCCTCTTTAGTTTGGTCTCCCTCCCTGTTTTTTTTAAGTGTCCCGTTTAAATTTTTCACCCACTTGGTCCAAAACAAAAGATGAATTCCAGAGGATCCTTGTTTGGGGTTTTTAAGCCCAGGGAAGGAAATCTGTTGCAGCCCTTAATGTTGACGGACTCTGACCACACATCAGCCTGAGATCGCTTGACCGGTTTGGGAATAATGGGAATTGTAGACCAGTCAACGCTGGAAGGCCACAACAGGTTCCTCCGCCCTTATTCTAAAAGGGCTGCTCTGCACACTTCAGACATCCTTCAAAGGAAAACAAGTTTGCCTTCTTCCGGAGGAGAGAGGCCGTGTTCCCAGAATGCTTTGCTCAGTCCAAAAGTCCTTTGGTACTCGAAGATTGCCTTGCAGGGAATCTAGTCTGTGAGTCACCTGCCTTCCAGAACGCGGGAGAAACAGTCTGGAGATTTTCTGCCACTTGTTAAGTCTTCCGCTCAGAGCAGAGGTTGGAATTGCTAGGTTTTTTTGTACAACAACTCCCAGAATCCCCAGTCATCACAGATGGGAGTTATAGGCAAGAAAGCCATGCTTTCATCTGTTCACTGGGTTAGTTGTGCTTCCTGCTGTTTCATTCATCTAGGGAGAGAGGGAGAAACGTCCTTTTCTGCAGTGTTAGGAATTTGCAGTTTTCCAGTTTTCTTCTTCCACAAGTTAGCAGACAACGTTCTGCATTCTTTATGTCCAGCCAGGCAGGAGAGCAATTACAAACGTCGAAAGCAAAAGGGCTATTGATACTATGAGTCACGGCTGGGGTGCCGGGTGGAAAAAAACAAACCAGGGGCTGTAATTCTTCACGTTGTTCTGCTTGTCCAAACATTTCCCTTCAAGGCCTTCTGTGTTTTCTCTCTCTCCTGCAGTATGAAGGCACAGTTGCTCAGTCTGTGCTGTTTTTGGCTTTTTTAAAAGAGCATTTGTGATGCTGAGCACCTGTTTTCTTCATTCTTATGAATGTTGATATTGTGAGACGGGTGCGAAAGGGAATTAAATTACGTATTGTGACATAGTTTTTCTATTTGCATTATAGTGCCCTGGTTAAATTCTTCATCTAAAAATGGCTTCCTGTGCTTAAAGTATCTGTAAGAATATTCTGATGCTGTCCAAATGCTGGTGTAGGGCAACCCCCCCCCTCCCCGGGTCTGACAGCATTTCCTTCTGGTGATGCTCCGGGACTATGCAGCTTGGCCAAGACCTCACCTGTGGCGTGGCAGGTGATCTCAGCAGCCTGGGAGGCTTTGGATGATCTTAGCTGGCTCCTCTCGTAGAAGACCCAGTGGGTTCACCTACCCATACCAAATCATGTTGCTAAAACAAAATAAAAGTCTGGACATTGGCTTCTCTGCTGAAGCTCAGTTATGAGGAGAAATTAAAAAATAGTGCCAGGCCCTTGTGTCTTTAACACAGCATGGAAAAATTGCTTTTCAGACCATGAGTGTGATCACCTGAACCCAGAGCTCACATTTTGGACTGTTTGTGGCATGGTCTGGTGTGAACTATTTTCCAGGGATCACACAAACGTATGGGCAAAAGTGTGCTAAGCCAAACCTAGTTTGTGCCAAGTTGAACTATTTTTGGTCCAGCAGCACGACATACTCTTTTTTTGGGGGGGTGGGGGGCACGCTGTAGCAATTCCCTGATGGACAAAATTGTCGCAGTTAAGGAGAGTGCCCCAGTAAATTGTTGGCGCTATTGCAACCTCGCATGCTGCCTTTAGTAGGTTTGGCTGGGAGGAACCTTCTAGGGTGCGGTGATGGTCTAGCCCTAACCAAGAGTAT